CTATGTCGTGCAATAAAGTTTTTTTCTCGTCTGGGCACCAGTCTATTAAAGCGCTTAAATTCAAAAAACTGTTATGTATCATAGCGAGGAACTCATCCGAACAATTACCATGAGAGTATTTAGAGAAAAGACACAGAGAGGCAACCTGACGGTGATGGGAAAGTGATAGAAAAAGAGCTGACAGATCAGGACCGATAATATTGCTGATTCTGCTTTAAAAAGAACAAGCAATAATCTTGTAACCAAAAAAGACTTTTAAAGGCAAGAAATTAACGGGAATTGATATTCATTCAATCTAGTTAGAGTGAAACGTTGAAAGATTTCAAAATTAGAAGAGAAAACATTGTTCATGTGAGGAAGATAAAAATCAATAAAAATTCCTCAAGTAATATTGAAGTTGAAACAGCAGATAAGGTAAAAAGATTCTTGTTTAAACGTTGGATGAAAATAAGGAAACGTCAACAAGGCGTTCGTGTATATATGTATATATATATATATATATATACCCAACATCCTAATGTACAGCCAGTTACGGCTACAGGAAAGTAGGACGTCCATGAGTAAGATACAAAGACAAGTTGAAAAGCAACTTGTCAGCAGTCAATATACCACATAACACCCTTGAGCGCTTAGCCTTGGAGCAGGTACAATGGAGATCAACGTGCTTTAGTGGACTCAGTAATTTTCAAACTGTTTGTCTGAATCATCTTCAAGAAGCGAGAGCAAGATCTAAAAGGTCAGCCAATCTAACAGCGATCTCATCTCACAATCCTCACACTTGATCCATATGTGGCCTCCTTTGTAAATCACTAGCGGGTCTTAAATGCCACTTAAGATTATCGCACAGACTTTCATAACTGAATCAATAAGCTGTCAGATCTTCATACGTCGAAACCGACGGGAGAGTCCATTATATATATATATATATATATATATATATATATATATATATATATGAAAAGAAAAAATATATACGGAAAAAACAGACAAAAATCCTCATATACAATTATGCTGTTTTAATGTTAATATGTCAACGTCGGAGGTTTCGGTCTAATAAACCATCTTCAGGATATATTCATAAATTATAACATTATCAATACAACATGACAAATTGTATTAATAATGTTATAATTTATGAATATGTCCTGAAGATGGTTTATTAGACCGAAACGTCCGACGTTGACATATTAACATTAAAACAGCATAATTGTATATAAGGATTTTGTTTGTTTTTTCGTATATATTTTTCTTCATACTGTCGGATTTATATCCATATATTTGCTTACATATATATATATATATATATATATATATATATATATATATATATATATATATATATATAATATGAAATCGACCGATTCCGACAATTATTTTTAATTTTTTTCCGTTATGTTTATAGATATAATTTATTTAAGTAAATGCTCTCTTTTTTTAATTAAACAGTACTAATTATATTTACTGGCCTGAAATTTCGTAGAAAATATGTGCTTCCAAACGGGAATTGAACCTGTAACCCTTAAATCATCATTTAATAAGATCTTCTGTTAACCATTCAGCCACAAAGAAGCGTCTGGTTAGTAAAGTTCGAATTACTGTTTATAAACACACATCTTCGACGATTTTTCTCGATCGCTCATATCTGCCCACACAATATATCTTAACATAAACTATGATAACATCTTATGAAATGGATTAATTCTGACAATTATTTTAATATATTTTCTTAGTTAGTTCTATAGATATAATTTATTTAATTAAATGTTCTGTTTTTTAATTAAAAAGTTTTAATTACATTTACCGGCGTGAATGTTCGAGAAATTTCCTAGAAAATATGTATTTCTCCAACAGGAATCGAACCTGTAACTCTTAATTGGGACCATATAATTATATCATTAATGACGACTGACAAGTTACTGCGATTAATCTTATTTAATTATTCTGGTGTCCATCAAGTGTTTTCTTTTCTGGATATAAAAGTTAGAAAATATCTCTAAAAACATTCATGTTACCAAATCTCTATCTATTTAAACAGACACAAAAACCTACCAAACTCCATCCGAAACATACTAGTTCAAACTATAGGTATAATAGCCTCATCCACATGTAAGAACAAAATTAAAAATAATAGAACAATGATAAAAAAGAAAAAAGCCAACACTCAGTAACATTAAATACGATCACGGCCACAATATGCTGACCGTGTTTGAAAAATAAATCATTCTTACAGCTCCAAACACATGCATAAAAAAAACACATTCAGTTAAATAAAAAAAAAATTAAAAAAATCGTTCTTGATAATGGATAAAAGAATAGCCGAAAGCAGTCGGTTATGCAGAACTTTTGTACAGTTTTTGCACACTTTGGATCCAGAAAAGAAAACACTTGCAAAAACACACACACACACACACACACACACACACACACACAGAATAAATAAATAAAAAGCTTAATCCCAGTACTGTGTCAGCGGTCTTTAATGAAGCATGTATAAAAGAGGGTGCCCAAATGCCCAAAATTAAATAAAATACAATATATATATATATATATATATATATATATATATATATATATATATATATGTGTGTGTGTGTGTGTGTGTCTCAATTAGTTATCTAATATTCGACACGAACTCAGTCTATACCGGATGAAGTTTTCGTCGGTTGAAATTGGCCTATTCCCCCAGGAGGTCATTTTAGATTTTATTGTGCACTACTTATAATGATTATCTGTAATAATAAATGCGACGAGCTTTTTTTGCGGATCAGTTTTAATATTTTATATTACTATGATCCACTTGGAATATATAACAACGGATTTATTACCTTTACTAATATAAATGATCTCATAAATTGATATTCCAATACACACACACACACATATATATATATATATATATATATATATATATATATATATATATTTATATAACGTTCGATAAACGAAGAAGAACTGAAAGTAAGACAAATTACAAAAGCCTCGTACATAAATAGATGAGCAGAAATATCGAATAATTTGATAACTGCGGAAAAATTCAGAAAAAAGAGAAAAATATAAATCAGGATTTAAGTGTAAAATGCAGACGTTTATTAAAATGTATCAGAAATTCATTTTAATTAGAAGAGGAAAGGCAAGTTCCACTTGTCTTCCATCAATTTGAGATTTTAATAACTTCCGTTGATAAATACACCGTAAATTCTCATTAAATTCTATTCTTTACTCATCTGGAGTATCCATGCCTAACTTCCCGCCTAAATCTGAGTCTCTGTTCAATTATGTGCAAATAACTACGTCTATAGTTTCTGTTATCATATCTAAAATGGATCAGCACAAAACACGAAGGTTTCATAGTATCCTTGCAATAGTCCTTAAGATATGTCTTTTATGAACTATCTCCTGTTCTTTTTAAACTTGCTGCTTCATGCTTTCCTTCATATCGGAAATCCACTCCTCTTCCAGTTTACACAGATATATCGTCCGATCATTCTAAATAATGGCCTATTTTTTGATTCGTTGGGATTGTCAGGACATTTTTTTTTCTATTTTGCAATATTTTATGACCGTTTTTTTCTCTTTGCATATGAAATAGTGTACTTGAAGAATTTGAAAGTATTTCCAATGTATTTTTCCTGTTTGTGTAAATACACAGGGCTGCAAATTCTGATTGCTCTTAAGTAGAATCTGATAATTATTCCGCATTTTGTTTTGTTGTTATGATGGAAATAGAAATTTATGAGCTCATTAGATGCGTTCCGATGGATACTAATTTTAGATCATCCTCCATAGGTCCCGTAACCGAAGGCATATCGCAGTGACATAAACACTCTCCATAAAACTTAACCCTAACCCTAACCCTAACCCTAGCCCTAATCCTAACCCTAAACCTAACCCGAGCCCTAAACTTAAACCTAACTAATGAACACTAATCCTAATTAATGTTAACTTATTTAGCAAGGGAAATATTGTGTTAAATGTTTTGTTTTTTTGTTTTTTTAATAGAAAGAATACACTCCATTCGCGGGACGTGAAATAAATGCTACGACTATATCTGTTTTTCTTTTTAAAGTCAATGTCCTTTCAGGACGTAGGTAATCATGGCTCTCCACCTGCTTTGTAGCTCTCAGCAAGTTCCTTCCCTCTTCTTCCTACCCCAGAACACGTTCTCTCATCCCCCTGCTCAAGATAATCAGGTATGTCACATGCTGCTTTTCATTGTCTCTCTTTCCTTCTATTTGACACGTGAGTATCAGATTCTCCAGGTCTTCCTTCTTCATTATGTCCCAGAAACTCCAGATACCTCTTTCTGAGGTTTCACTTTGTTTGCAACCTCTCTAAGATATCATAGTTGTTGCTCACACGCTCGGCCCATGATATACAGCGTGTTGCAGCAAAATCCGACACTTGACAAAAGGAAAAACGAAATAGGCAATAAAAACAAAAGTTGTATATGCAGAGACCCGACAGTTTATTTAGCACACAGTTAGAGTTACATACTACATTATTTTTCAATGTAATCGCCGGCGGCGGCGATGACCATCTCAAGGCGGTCGTGAAATGAGCCACACGCTTTGGCGACCATGTCCTTGTACATAGCGGCGAACGCGTTCACGATGGCAGCCTTCAGAGAGTCGATCGTGTTGTGGGTCTTGACCTCGATCACGACCCAGAAGAAACAGTCAAGTTGGTTGCAGTCGGGTGAGGAGGGAGGCCACAAGTCCCGTGACAAGTGGTGAGAAAAATTATAGAGCGGCCATGCCTGGGTCGTCTTGGCCTTGTGTGCAGGCGAGGAGTCCTACCGGAAGATGTAGGGGCGTCCGGCGGCGATCTCGTCCATCAAGGGCTTCACCACGCTCCTCAGCACATCCTGGAAGATTTCAGCGGTGACTCTCAGGCCCTTTTGAAAGAAGAACGGAGGCATGACGTCCCCCTCGCTGGAGATGACGCCAAGGACAATGACAGAGGAGTGAAATTTCGTATGCTTAACGGCTGAACCATCCTCGATGTGTTTGCAGATCCACCTGCCTGTTGCTCGTCTGGTCCTGGATGAAATTCTTTTCGTCAGAGAAGAACCGCAGCATCCCGTTGAACCCGTGCTTGGAGATATTCGTGATGAACATGCGGCGAGACTTGCGGTAGGAGGAGTAACCAATGTCCTTCTATGTCCTTCAGTCTATGTCAGAGGCGATCTTGGCGTAGCTCTGGCTTCCATCTTTGTCGACTGTCTCCTTGACGGCGGCGACGAACACGTTGGTCTTAACGACCGAAGAACGAACGTTGTGGGCCTTTCGTTTGGCAGTAAATTCGTTCTTGTTCTCACACGCCTTACACTTCCTCCAAATCTCCATGACCATGGTCTTCTTGAAACCAAACCAGGCCATCACTTCCGCAGGCTTCTTCACGGTGCGAAAAGAAGCTACTAGCCCTGCTCTGTGCACATATTCCATCTTGGAAAAGGGTAGAGAGTAAAACGTTAGTTGTCAAACTGTCGTGTATCTGCATATATATCTTTTGTTTTTAATGCCTATTTCGTTTTCTTTTTGTTAAGTGTCGAATTTTGCTGCAACACCCTGTACTTAGCATCCTTCTGTAGATCCACATCTCCGTCGTCTCGAGTCTATTCTTCATCTTTGAGGAACTCGTCCAACATTCGCTGTCGTCAAAGAAGAACAGATGTCATGTAACAGTTCAGTATTCTTTTCTTTGTTACCAAAGAAATCCTTCTGTCTCGCAATACTCTGCCCAGCTTTTGGAATGCGTCCTTGGCCATCCCAATAGGTCTCCCGATCTTGGTGTTGCATTTACCGTCCTGATGTTAAGTATAAGCCATCTCCTTGTTTGCAAGACCTCATCGTTGCACACACGATCGGCCCATGATATCCTTACCATCCTTCTGTATATCCACATCTCCCTCGCCTCGAGTCTCTTCCCCATCTTTGAGGAAATCGTCTAAAATTCGCTGCCGTAAAGAAGGTCATATGTCACGTAACAGCACAGTATCCTTTTCTATGTTACCAAAGAAATCCTACGGTCTCACAATACTCTGTCCAGTTTTTACGTCTACGGATCTCAATGTCGCACTTACCGTCCTGATGTTAAGTATAAGCCTTCTCCTTGTTTCATCCTTCTTAGACCCCATAATTTCTAATATACTACTAAATAGGCGTCACAAAATTGCATCATAAACAGACATCCATAAAAGAAATCAACAACACTTAGCAACAAACCAAGGAGTGATAGTGAACGTTTGGGACAAGAGATACTATGAGTATTTTAACAGATATATCTACCAACATTACAGAAAGTTATCTTGAAATAGGAAAGGGTAAATTTAATTAATAAAATCAGCATTGGCTTCAAACACGACCTCAGACGACTGCGGAATCTCCTGCATCTCGTCCGGACGGTCTCTTTGATTGAAATGATGAAGGCTGCCATAATCATTGTCTTCTGTTCATTTTTGGTGTAAAAAAATTGTGGTTGGTATCTCGCTCAACTGCGCTGCACACATAATAATCATGCGGTTTGCAGTCTTCAGCGTTACGTGTCCAGACGTAAGGAGTGATATGGTCGTAAAAAAAAAACAGAGAAAAACTAGCAAAAATAACCTTTATCAACGAAGAGTTGCTGGTCTTTAAGGAAAATTGTGCAAATTATAACCACTTTCCAAATATCTCCACCATGTGTCAAGCCCGCATTGAAACACACACACACGCACGCACACACGATATATAATCCGGTGTTCTTATAGATATTTTTATTTTTACAAAATAGTGCTCAATGTAAATTTCCAGAGCATTAATATTGTAAATTAATAGATTTAAAATATGTTTTTTTTTTGTTTTTTGCTATACAGTTCTAATCATGTTTCAAAAATGGAAGCTGAAAGCTCCGAATTTAATTTTGTAATTAAATTAAAGACATTAGTTCCATTTCATCCTCAAGCGAATGAAATGGAACTAATGTCTTTAATTTAAATACAAAATTAAATTCGGAGCTTTCAGCTTCTATTTTTGAAACATGGTTAGAACTGTGTGCAAAAAAAACACATATTTAAATCAATTAATTTAATATATATATATATATATATATATATATATATATATATATATATATATATTTGCATGTATGTTTTGGTATGCGTGTATGTGGACAGATTGTGGCTCTGTGAGTTCTCCCGATATATGTATCTATGTTCATTGGCGGGCCATACAGTCCCTGCTTGCAACGCATGCCTTTTTTCCCGGAAAAATAATTTTGCGTAATATAAAATTAATTATTGATAACTTTGATTATCCTCTTTTACTTGTATATTTTTGTATTACCCTCTTCTTCATTTCTTCGGATTTTTTTACAAGCGATATTATTTAGGGAGTGTAAATAAATAAAACTCTTCTTTAGCAATTAAAGACGCAAGTAAAAGCAATGAATTTACTAACCTTTTTAGTTCATAGCATGAAAGACGGAACATAAATGTGTGCAGTTGAAAGAGAGACTGTCACC